CAGACACACCAGGCAGGACTTCAGAGCCTTCAGTTTGGTTCCAGTGCAGATGTCACAGGGAACTTCTCCTGGTTTGGCAGCTTGTTGCTCTGAGCTGCTGCTGCTGACTTTCTGCTGAGCTTCATGTCTGAACTGAGAAACCATCTCAGAGATGAAAGTGTTGATGTGCAGCTCAGGTCTGGTCTGAAAGACCTTTTTACACAAAGGACACTGACACCTCTCACTGATATCCCAGTGTTGACTGATGCAGTTTTTGCAGAAGTTGTGTCCACATGGTGTGGAGACTGGATCAGTGAAGACATTCAGACAGATGAAGCACAGAGACTGATCTTCAGATAGAAGACAGCTGGCAGCAGACATGTCTGCACCCTGAACAAGAAAAAAAAAAAGAAAATTTGTTCATTTTTAAATTTATTAATTCACACAACACTACACTTATATTTTTCTTTCTTTAAATATAGGATTGACAGGCTCTTGGTTTAGAATTAATTAACTCATACAATCACATAATACTGTATTCTAAAATAAGTTTGCACATTTTAGTTTTTCCTGTTATATTTATGATTTAATCTTTCTGTGTTTTCTGAGTTACCTTAGTGGCAGTTGCTCCCAGACCCTTGGTTGATGAGCTAAGAGGTGGAATAGGGGCGGAGCAAGCATAAATGGAGACCTGCAAATTGGGTCATACCACAACTCTGGATCAATTTGTTATGTTAGTTTCAATAAGGTTTTGTGTGTTCTACCTCTTTTTGTGTGTGCACTATTTAAGTTTTGTTTAGGTATTGAGTTAGTAGAATTGTTTGTTGTCAGCTTTTGAATAGTGTTCTGTTACTTTGGCCCAAGATTTAGATTTTGCTGTATAATTTAACCCAAGGGCGTAGATTTGGACCAATATCCAGGGATTATTGAATTGTCCCCACCAATAATTTGATCTCTTCGAGTAAAGAAAAACAAACCCGACAGAAAGAAAAAAAAAAAAGATCTGTCAGCGTCTCATTCGCCCAGCGGTGCAGAAAGAGCTAAATTACGTCCTCTACTGGAGTCCTACGTCATGTGACAAATCTGGCCAATGTGATTGGCTGTGCCTTTCAGGGAGCTCTGTTTACTTTTAGCAGCGGCAAGCCTGCGCTGCGAGGAGGAGGAGAGGAGGATGGCAGCAAAAAGGAAGATCCTGGATATAAGAAAGAAACCTGTAAGTCGCTTAAAGTCAAGTTCACTCATAAAATGTGTCCGTCACAATAACGTTACAGGCTATGCTAGGCTTTGGCCCACATCAGTCTAAAACTGTATGCAACCATGAATAACGTGTTTTGGAAACTAACTGCACAACAGGCAGCACTGTTAGTTATCTCAGTCTCCCAGAGCAGCATCTCTAATTTTGATTGAAACTGCCAGAAAACGGCAGCCTCGAGCAAGCCAGGATATTAGTTTACAGACACTGTTAAAATTATATGTCTAATGTCAAAATGTTGGTGACACAATAATTTCATCCTAATGGTACTGACATATTCATTGGGTTAATTTTTGAGACAAAATAGCATGAGGTAGTCATGATTGTGCAAATATTCCACCTTGTAGTGCAGTTTGCACAAATTGTTGTAAAAATGCACTCAGCCTACAAACATTACTGATGAGTCAAGATCTGCACAAATTGACAGAAACACTGAAGCAGCTCCACATTTTATTCTTATTGTCATGTATGTCCTGTTTGTCAGGTGACAGAAGAACCAACACAGAGCTCAGAGAGCAATGGTGATACGAGATCACAGGTGAAGTTGGATGATGACTTGTTGGTTCATGACTTTATTTGAAGCACATGTGTGACTGCATGTATGTGGAATGTCTCACTGTTATTTATCAGGTGACAGAGGCAGCTCTGTCATGTTGTAGCTCGGAGGCAAGGTGAGGTGAAGAGGCGAGGTCACAGGTGACTGACTGATGATTTGGTGCTATAGATTAACTAGTATTTATTATCATCATCCCATTATCCCAGTATCGTCGGCTGAGGCTAAAAGAAGCTTCAGTGCTCTCACAAGACTAAAAAGATGGCTACGGTTAACAATGACTCAAATGAGATTAAACAATGCTGCTGTATGTCCACCAGAGACTGGACAGTATAGATGTAAAACCAATATGCCAGCAGTTTATCTCAGTTAACGAGAGGAGTAGGCATGTGTTTGGCTCCTGTTAGGGCTGCTCAATTAATCGAATTTTAATCACGATTACGATCTGGGCTTTCAACGATCATTAAAAATGAC